GGGGGGGGCCCCCCCCCGGCCTCTCGGGCCAGCCTGTTCCAGGGTGAGCATCCATTCCAGGTGGTGAGCAATTGTGCTGTGCATCACTTGTTTTGTATATTCTTTTATCATCGTCGTCATCGTCATCATCATTGTTATTATTATTTTCTGCCTTATTAAACTGCTGGCTTAAACCACAACAGTCCTTGCTGGATCTGTATGCGTAGCACGGCTAGCTCAGTCAGTAGAGCATGAGACTCTTCATGTCAGGCTCATGGGTTGGAGCCCCATGCTGGGCACCAAAAGAACTCATTTAACTGGCAGGCAGCTAAAACAACCACACAGCTGTTTGCTCACTCCGCACCCCCAACAGTGGGATGGCAGAGAGAACTGAAAAGAAAAAAGTAAAACTCATAGGTTGAGGTAAAGACAGTTTAATAGAGAATAATAATAATTAATTAAAAAAATAAGGGAGAATAATAATAATGATAAAATAACATACAAAACAAGTGATGCACAGCACAACTGCTCATGTTCCAGAGCTGATGCTCAGGTAGTACCTGAGCCACCTGCCTCCTGGCCAACTCCCCCAGTTATATACGGAGCATGACCTCATATGGTATGGAATATCCCTTTGGCAGTTTGGGACAGCTGCCCTGGCTGTGTCCCCTCCCAGCTTCTTGGATGCCCCCACCTTCTTGTTGGCGGGGGGGGGTGGGGACACTTGTTGGCGGGGCAGTATGAGAAGCTGAAAAGTCCTTGACTGTTTGGCAACAACTAAAACATCAGTGTGTTATCAACATTATTCTCCTCCTAAATCCAAAACACAGCATTATACCTGCTGCTAGGAAGAAAATTAACTCTATCCCTGCCGCAACCAGGACTCTGGGCATCAGAACTTGTTTTTCTTACATGTGATTACTTATGAAATATCTTTAATATTTCCATAATGACAGATTACATGCATGAGAGGTTACATTTTACATATCTTTCAGGGCAGGTATAACAACAGTCTGGTCTCATTCACGCTAGATGTTTCAATTAATCTTGACATAGAAAAAGAGGTTGCATTCTTCTGCTGACCCATGTCCATCCCATCCTTTAGCATGTAATACTGTCCTCAGTATATGTCACCAGACAGTGGCTCATATTGCTAGAAATGGTTGCATCCTACATACAAACATCTGATTTCACTGAACTTCATTACTGCTGTATTGCATTGCAGATCAAAATGCTACTTAAAAAAAATATTGGCTTCAAAGAGACACTCAATTTGGTAGTGGTGCCATGTAATGTGGATATTGCAACAACAGAAGCACTGAAAATGGCTCAAGAGGTGGACCCCAGTGGAGAAAGGACACTAGGTAAGGCATTTTTTAAGCTACAAGTTGAAGAGAAGTGCAAATCTTCTTTTCCATGAAGGCCTGATGTTCTGTATTCCATGCCAGATCTGGTAATTAGCTACTAGAAGGAAAAAAAAAACCCAACCCCAAAAAACCCCCAAAACCAGCGTAAATAAACTATTTACAAAACTTGAGATGATCCAGTAGATCTAACAATCCCTCAAGTTTGAGTCTTACTGGCATTCATGTTATGAATAATTGGAAATTGAAAATCTCAGAGTCAATGGCAGGAAAGCTTTGCTCCTGCCTTTTAAAAAAAGATTTGCAAGGCAAAAACCGTAGTGGGAGGCCAACTGTAGAGCAGATTTTACAGTGCAAAGCCCAGGAGCTAAGAGCTTTCTAGAAGAGAGAAAAAGAAAACAAAGAGAACTTGCTTTATAAAACACGGTACAGGACGTTCCTGCTGTGGTGGCAGGGTGTCCTACTACACCTCTCCCACCTTTAACTTCTGATCTCAACTAACTTTCTCTCTGGGTAACTTCACAGGGATCCTCACAAAACCCGACCTGGTAGACAGAGGAACAGAAGAGTCTATCATTAACGTAATACGAAACCTGGTCATCCCCCTCAAAAAAGGTTACATGATCGTGAAGTGTCGTGGGCAGGAGGACATCCACAACAAATTGTCTTTGGCCACTGCAATCCAGCAGGAGAGAAAATTCTTCGAGACTCACAAACATTTCAGGTACTTCTCACAGAAAGGACCTAATCAAAAACATATTAAAGTCACTTCAAAACTTCCTTCACTTGCTAAGATTTAAATTAGGGTTACAAACAGGTATTAATTATACTTGCTATTTCTCATTGCCCATGTAGTGTTGCATTCCAGTAAGCAAGAAGAATTTTACATGTCAAATAAACTTTTAAAATGTATTTTGGATGCAAGTTTGGTATATATCTCTCCTTAACCCTGGGAGAAGTGCAGTAAAATTCAGAAGTTCGGGATAGTCCCAAAGAATTCAAGTTAAGCATCTGAGCACTTCAAGTCAAGCACTGAAATATTTCTACTCACTGGAAAACGTGATGAAACTCAGCATAAGAAAGGATAATGCCCATGCTGAGGGCACAGATTTCCCCAAAAGACGACTCAGCAGAAAATCAGTCATAACGTAGAGAATGGCAGGTGAAAAGGGTGTTGAATCAGTGTACTTCACACATGCAGAAATAATACAGCAGCACATTAATCCGCTGTTAGAAATTGCTATTTTCAGATTCTCCTGTTTCCCTTTGCTTAGCCAGTAGCAGTAGCTGTCAAACAACTCTTGCAAAAAGGCCATGGTGCCTGGAGGGACCTGGGCTGCTGTCACATCTCTACGAGCACTCCCCAGACAGCCCTTTCTTTACTCAATTTGTGTAGTGGAACTAGTGACAACAGAGGAAAGCATCAGTGCTGCCTCCTTGCCATGCACACGTGGTCCATCCAAACCCACTTTTTCCTCTTCTTTGCAGTGTTCTTCTGGAAGAAGGAAAGGCTACTATCCCTAATCTGGCAGAGAAGCTCACCAGTGAACTTGTGAAACATATTGTTGTAAGTATCAGAGATGCCGTACTAAGCTGTTTGTATCAGTTACTGTCTAAAAATAAGTTCAGCCCTTCAACTTTGGATTGCAATGCTTTGCAATTGATTGCAACTGGACTGCATCTTTATATGCATAGTTAGTACTTAAGTATCCTTCAATCTGGCAACCTGAGAACAAATTGAACTGAGACTTAGAGGTAAAGAAACCCATGCTCTGTCCTCAGATTTGTCTTTAAGCTGAAGACTGACAATGGGCAAATCATTTCATCTACTTGTGACTCCTAACTCCTGCTTTTTCAATGGCAGATGTGATTTTTTTTTTTTTTGTGAAGAGTGTTGATTGGCTGGGTGATAAGTTACTGCTATCAGTTTACGAAAACACAATAATTTCTATTTAACTGAAAATGTCTTCAAAATCTCAAGTAAAACCTAATTATTTTATTATATTACTATACTAATAGAGGTATATTGGGGTTTTAATTTTATATACCTGTATCTGTAAGTAATACATCTTATTCCATTAAGGGAAAATGCTAAAATACAGGGAACCTCTAAATTCAGGCCTGAAGGAGGAAAAAAATTTATATATTTATGTAACCTTACATAAAATAAGCAACTAAACAGCTGTGTTCAATCACGTATTTATCAGGAATGGAGGGGTCAGTACACTCCCCACATCACTACTTCCATGGCGCAACCTCTAAGGACATAGTTTTTGACTCACTGCAGGTGAAATGTTGTCCTAGACTGCAGCTACTCTGCCCGCCTGGCAGTGAGGTCCAGCCTGATTTCTCAGGGAGGTCCTAGCCCCCTGCCTTCTCTCAATGAAGGCCATATTTGCACTTCCATGCTATCCCACTATCACACATGGGATGCAAGAAGAGCAAGCTCTTGGACTCATAAGAGCAGCAAAGATCATGTGCATGTATAGGTCACTCTTAGAGGGATTTTGCTTTATTTCCAAAACCAGACATGTTCAACCTACCTAAATGTCCTTCTTTACTGCCTACACCACAGAAAATTTTGCCAACACTAGAGAGCCAAATACGTGAGATGCTTCAAAAAACGTTACAGGATCTACAAAAGTATAGAAGAGGCACACCCAGAACACAGTCTGAGAAGCTGTTTTTCCTCACAGATGTAAGTATCAATATTGGTTTGGTCACAGAACAGAGTTAAGAGGTAAATGTGGGAGAAAAAGAAACTCCTAAAGTTAGCAAACCATTGGCATGGATCACCAGGAAGCTTGTAGTATCTAGTACTGAAGTGTTTTCAGAGTAACATAGACAAACCTCTGGTAGGAATACATCATACCTACCTGCAAAAATTATGGACCACAGGAGCTCATGGGCCTTTCTAGAATTTTTTTGTGATTATGTGACAAGAAAACTGAACAACAACTCGGTTGGTCAAAATCAAGCATCTCAAAGAGGGAAAACAACATTTCTGCCTGCCCAACATTTTTAAGGGTTTCCATTGTTTACAGAATTCATAAGATCAAATACATTCCTGATATCAAAATATGGTTTGCAAGGCCATCTAAGTGTCTCATCTTGGGGAGCTAATCCCTGACAGTAAGCTTTCGGTAGGCCAGCAGAGGTGCTTATGAAGGCTCATCAGCCTTCAAAGACTTCATGCAAGTCTAGTCAATTAGAATTTAGTAAATGGTTCTAAGAGTCCACAGGAAAACAAAACAAAACAAAACATATGAAGTTTGTTCTCTAGCTATGCTGATTTTGCAGGAAAAAAAAAACAAACAAACAAACAAAAAACCCCCCAGGAGCTAGGAGCATAAAAGATGTAAGGAAGAACAAAACAAAACATATGACGTTTGTTCTCTAGCTATGCTGATTTTGCAGGGAAAAAAAAACCAAACAAAAAACCCCCCAGGAGCTAGGAGCATAAAAGATGTAAGGAAGGGACGTTTTCCATTAACCATGTCCCTGCTTTATCATCAAATGACCGCAGATTTACTTAACATATACAAGTTAGTCTGGAGAAATAAAACTTTACTACATTACTTGCTTGTTCTTTAATTCATTACAGTTGATTAAACTCTTTAATGAAGACATCTCTCAGACAACACGTGGGGAGGAACAGCTGTTTGGAAATGAGATCAGACTGTTTACAAAAATCCGCAGAGAGTTTCAAACATGGGGAGTGATTCTCCTAGAGTGTACTACAAAGGGTAAGCACAGAAAATCATCACTTGCAGCTGACCTGAGAGTCCATGCCCTTGCTTTTAAATCAAGACACAGCATCATCAATGCATTGTTTTCACAAAAGTGAAAAACAAGAAGCTAGGAGCTTCATCTGTTGTCGTGTTAAGCAAGTTACGCTTTGGTCCTTGGGGAAAAAGACCGAGCTTATGTTAAATGCTCTCACTATGGAGAGATCAGTGGATGTCTCTCTTCTTCCAGCAAAGCAATAAAATCAAGACTGTGGACCCTGACACAAAATTGTTTGGTGATTTTCTGATCTATTCTTCTAAATAACAGCAACAAAACCAACACCAACACTAAATAATAATAATGATGATGATGATAATAATAATTTGTTATAATTCTAATAGTATTGTTGATGTTATTAATAATAACGTTTTGGAATTTGGGTCTTTTTTGTTCTACTGTAGCTCTGGTTTAAGGTGTGGAGAAAGCAATTTTGAGTCTGAAATAACCACAGGGTTGTAAAGAGTACCCTTTCTGTGCATCACCCACCTTGCTAATTGCTTAACTGAACTCAGTTCTAAACTGAGGCATAGGGTGATATACACAGACTGAACTCTGCTCTACACTCAACATTTTTGCATGCCACATGATTCTGTTTAACTTCAGCTTTCTTATCATGAATGAACGTATTAAAAATAGCAAATACTTTGGATACTTGAAGCCTTGAACTTTCTGTTGAAAAGCTGACAGATATTCTTGTGACCACGTTACCAGTTTGTACTACCTTAACTGTACAGTTATGTTTTCAGACTCTGAACCAGATACTCCATATCTACTTCTGTCTTTTCTTTGCTGTTGTTGTTGTTGTTATCCAGCCATAGACTCATATATCTGAATTTTAGAATTGAATGCATTCATGGCTTGATTTCTACTTTCACATGTGCACTTATCATGATTCGCAAATTTGACCTTGAAACAGGGCAATATCAAAACTTTTCAAACCACTTAGAAACCTGAATATGTAAACCAATTCAAAGGGATATACCTCATTTAAGATGGCAAATTTGTATAATGTCCACAAAGAAATGTTGATTGCGATATCTTAAATAAAAATAGTTAGTCAAAAGTAGATTCCCTGGAATAAGACTGTTTAGCAAGTTTGGGGTTTTGTTTTGTTCTGGGTTTTTTAAAACTAAGAAGTGACTGGTAAAGGCCACTTCTGTGACAGTAGCAATTCCAAGAAAAACCAGCATTTTTGAGCCCCATCATAATTTCCAGATTGCTTTCTGTCAATTAGATGCTTGTCCAGTGTGTGAGATGGCTCATTCACTGAGCGATAACATGTGTTAGCTGCATTCTGTAGTAAGAGTATTGGTTGAAAGATCGTCTCAGTAGTTGTTCTTCTCAGGAGCATTTCAAAGAGGAGAAATAGACTTCCTTCTTAAATCTGAAATTTATAAACTGATTCAGTAGTAAAGCAATGTTATTTTAATATTACAGTTAAAAAAAATGTACCCAGTGAAGTGTGGAAATATGAAGAGCAGAATCGTGGACGGGAGTTCCCAGGCTTTATCAATTACAGGACCTTTGAAGACATTATAAAAGAGCAAATCATAGCACTGGAAGAGCCGGCCATTGAGATACTGAACAACGTGATCGGTACGTGTCTCAGGCCACATGAGGCTGTCACATAGGAGACACTGGTGTGCCTAACCATTTTTTTTCCAGAATAAGCCAACATTCTCACTGCTGGAACAAGAGCTCCAGCCAAGATACTTCAGAGTGGGAAAGTGAATCTGATTCAACCTGGGGGCTTGCTTCTTCTCTAGGACCTCCAATTTCTACACGTGGTCTCCAGCATTTGTTAATACTTTTCCCATTGGCTGGTGAAAGGGAGTTAGAAAATAACTATAACACAGTAAAGAAATAGTATAGTAGAAGTACCTGGTGCCAGCCAAGCAGCTTGGTATTCCCAAGCCCGGGGAGTGGCATTCACAAACCTGAACTGGGAACCAGGCTTCTTTGCCAATTCTTTGCATGACATCATACGTCCTACACAGTGACTGCTGGGGCTAGGGGAAAGGGTACATAGTTCATCCAGTAAAAAGCACCCAAGGAAAAAAGCATGTCGTGATCCTCTCTCTCCTATGTTTGCGTTAGAAGGTAGCTACAGCGTCTGTGCCAGACTCAGTGCTCTGTACAGTATGTGCTAGCCCCTCTTCCTGGGGAGGCCACTCAGGGGGTGAGATGGGCTTACGTCGCTAAGTGATGGCGTATCTGGTCAGACACAGCTGTAAGCACATAAATTCTTCATCAAAGAAATCTCAGTGATATTCAATGTCTCAGGTGTTAAGTGGTTACAGGAGGTCTTTAATGGCTTACACTTTTGGACCTAGAAATGTAAATTCCTACTTGTTTGTATTGGTTATAAAGGCATAGTGCATCAGTACAGCTGCTCAGCTACTTCTGGATACAGAAAATGAGTTTTCCCAAGTCCTATATTAACAACAGCTTAAAAATCTCACTTGCTTACCTGACTTTATTTTGTCTGTCTGTTCTTCTCTTAGGACTGGTTGAAGAGAAATTTCTGGAACTCACTAAAAGACATTTTGCTAATTTTCACAATCTAAACAGAGCTGTTAAGGTGAGACACTACCTATAACCTGAGATAAGACAATAGCAAGACAAAATGGCATTTGTAAATACAGCTATCCTTCAGTACCTATCCCATTGCATTACCCTTATGCAAGCGTGGAATTTCTCGGAGGCCTACAGTTTTTATAAAATAAGGAAGAGCTTGAAAATGATAGCGTGTTTATAATGGCAGTAATGAAAGTGCATTTTGTCTTTCGGTACAACTTTAACAAGATCTAAAATACACATTCCTCGTTCATTCTGGTCACATTCTTGATGCATTCAACACAGTGCAAAGAAAACCGGTAATGGCTGCTTTGAAGAGCTTATAATTAATTTCAAATTTAAGTTCTGCAATGATTTGTAAGTGTTTGGATAGCCTCAGAGCGCTAAAGAGTGCTTTTCCCTCCCTGAAAGGCAAGCCAGGGTGTTAGCTAGTGCAGGAATCTCATCTTTGATGAAAGGAAGCAGCAGCAGACAAGCCAAAAATCATTCAACTATAAGAAAGTTAGAAGATGACTGTTCACACTTTGGGGGGTTGCATGTTTTGGGGTGGAGTTAAATGATAGGGATGTCATTGAAGGTCTCTTCCCAGAAAGAGCTTTGAGGAAGTGATGAGAAGCAATGCTGGACAGCTGGGAAGCAGAGTCCACTCACAGGGTACTACTTAAAAGGAAACTCAAAGGCAAATGTGAGCAACATAGATGGTTTGGTATTTGACTTGCGTGGCCAAACCCTAGTGAGTTTCCAGGCCAACCAGACAGCAAGAAAATAAGTTATTTCAGCCAAACACAGAGGTGTTTAGGGAGGATCTTTAGTCATAACATGGTGAGAAGGATAAAGAGGCAGGAAGTTCTGGTAGACATTGAAGATGAGAAAAAAGATGGGATGCTGTCTTAGGGATGCTAGGAAAGCATTTCAAGGGAATTCGAGGATGACTGAGGGAACTTTGCTGCCCCCACAGACTTTTATGTGGAAGTATCAAAAAGGCCAGAAAGCGTCAGATTACTACAATAAAAGCGGCAGACAGAGAGGGGTTAGACAGGGTTGGTTTGCTAACAACAGATAGGAGGCTGCAGTTTCTGAGAAGGGCAGGAGGAGCAATGGAGTCCACACCAGTGCCTGCTGTCACTGCCTACTGCGAGAAGGAGACGCAAACAGAGGCATGCAAAAACCGAGGACAGGCTGCAGGCTGAACACACGCCTGGCCATTGCTGCTTGTTCCCATCAACCCTGAGTCCAAGCACCAGGTTTTGACTGATCCCACCTGTGTTTAAGGAGGGGACAAAACTGCCACATTTTCCTGCCTTTTCACAACAGAGGAACCAGAATCTATAAAGCATTACTCCATGTTCCCAAGAGCCAGTCTGGGATTAGACAGTGCTGCAACAGGGACTGTTGAATACTGTGTCCACTGTGCCATTCCCTAGGGACACTGCTAAGCACCCGCACCTTTGCAAAGGAAGCAAATGTCTGAGAACTTGTTGTTCTTTTCTTTCCTAGACCAGAATTGAAGACATTAGAGAGAAACAAGCAGCAGATGCTGAAAGACACATCCGGACCCAGTTTAAAATGGAGAGAATCGTATACTGCCAGGATGACCTTTACATTAATGATTTAAACTCTGTTAATTTAGAAAAGACTACAAAAGCTGACAAGGGGAAAGAATTGCAGATTGCATCTGTTTTCAGCCAAGAGCTCTCCTCCGTCCGGGAAATGGTTTCTCACACGAAGGCCTATCTGAATGTGAGTTTACAGACTATGATACAGCAGTTCTGCTGCACCCTGAATGGTATAGCATATACCCCTCATGCAGATCTCGCTGTAGTCAATATGAGTCTTTCATGCAATACTACTACTATGCAGGCATTAGTAGCCAGAGGGTATAAGTGTCTTGCCCAGGTACACACACAGCTTCTATACAGATTAGTCGGAGCGTCTGACTAGTGCTGAAAAAGCCAGGACAAAGCTGGTCTGACGGGCTGTGTCAGCACAGCCACTGTGGAGAAGCAGTTGCACGCTGCAAGATCTGGTGATTAGAAAAGCCTGCAGGCTGCTAAAATGACAGCTGCCTCCTAAACCACTTGTTAGCTACCCCCAGCCTGGTATGGCTCCCTGCTGCGGCTGCCCCTCGCTCAGGGAACACACCATTGGCAAGTAAGTCCTCTTCTCACCCTCCTCCAGCTTTCATGGAGAAGAGGGTGACTCCCCGCTGCCTGTACAGCCCCACGCCAGTACAGCGCTCTCGTGCTCGATTTCCTATGGGGACAAGTGCCAGGGGGAGGAAAGGACAGTCACTTACCAGCATGGAGGAGGGATAGGATGGGGAAGAGCCCTTGGCCCTGTAATTAGAAGTTATTGATATTCAGCTGATGGCAAGCCCCCCCTCTCCAGCAAAGGAAGCAACAGCCCTAGGATTGCTTTCCCCACAGCAAGTTTGTCTCACGGTTTTCAAACAAACAGCACTAGTTTCCACAAGCTTAACAACATTACGTACAGCACTTCTGCGTTTGGCACAGCATCTGAGAGCTCAGGTCAGCCCCAAGCCCCTCTGCATACTTTAGAAGTTTTTGATATTCAGCTGATGGCAAGCCCCCCTCTCCAGCAAAGGAAGCAACAGTCCTAGGATTGCTTTCCCCACAGCAAGTTTGTCTCACGGTTTTCAAACAGCACTAGTTTCCACAAGCTTAACAACGTTACGTACAGCACTTCTGCGTTTGGCACAGCATCTGAGAGCTCAGGTCAGCCCCAAGCCCCTCTGCATACTCCTGCTGGCAGCAGAAAGTGGGGTCAGTGGCTTGCAGTCAGATCCTAAACTAATGTGGCAGGAGGAGCAATAAATAAAGCGTTACGTTACAATGGATTCAGCTATCTATAGAGATCAGAGTGCATATGCTGTATTGCAGATAGCCCCATGGAAGTTAAGTCTCTGAAGACAAACGGGATGTTTTAACAAAGGATCACATTAAAGACAGCAAAGAGAATACGCAGTATCAGGATTTGCTTTTTACCTTTGTTTTGTAAAACTCCCTCAGAAACCAGCAAATTCAATATTAATAATGCAGTAAGGTAGGTAGCAGCTCACCTTGAATTTCAATAGCAAGGTTTTGAAAAATTCCTGCACTTAGATGTTCAGACTGCTCAGGCTGATGGAGAGAAATCAGAGACCAGGAGACAAAGGCAGAAATGCATAAGCTCCTCCCTCCCATCTCATTCTACTGCCTGATATAACACAAATGTCTTAGATGCTAAATTATACATTTTTGTAAACGCCCTAAGTGCCATGTTCAGCAATAAGAAACACCAGGGCATCATATACCCAAGTCTCCACAGGACTTGAATGAGATGGAAGCTCTTAAGCGTCCATGGCCCTTGAAAATGGCATGCATGAATCCGTGCCACCCATGGCAGAACTGTCAGGATTCTGGGTAGAGTTTGGCTCCAGAAAAGCACCCATATTTAAAGCACCTAAGCTCCCTCCCGCCACACTCAGTAGTGCCTACAGAACAAGCAGGCTCAGTAAGTGCTTGAGCTGACTCAGCCGAATTGCTTCCTATTGACTAGATCTCTGCAAACCAGAAAGAAAAACTAAACATCTAGTCTTAGGTATTTTTCACCTTGACCTCTTGTACTTTAACAATTTGCTACCACTGAGCTCCAGAGGTACTAAAGCCACTAATGCCTTAAGACTTCTCTGGAAATGGGCTGCTTAAACCCTATAGGTCCCACAAATCAAATGTGCCTCTAGCTGGTCTCCCCACTGCCATTTTCAAGTCGGGTGCCACAAAAACAAAGGAAGACAGCACCTCTCAACTGCAGCCAGCCTCTCAGGCATAAGTGCTCACCTGGCACCAGGAGTGCTGGAGGCAGCTCCCTCCCAGCATTGGGGAGGTTTCGAACCTCCTGTCACCAAAGAGCACCAGCTAAGCCCCTAAGCCTTGCAGATATCTCCAGGGAAAGGGCCCCAACAAGCTCTTCTAGGTCATTCTGTTTCAGTTTGCACAGATAACTAAGACCAGATAGTTAGGTTAAGGAGAAAATTCTCTCACTGAGATATCAATAGATGTAATGTAGGCACAGCCTAGTCTCACTATTGCTGAAGGCATTCTCCCTTAAGCTTACTCCAAAGCTGTCTTACACTTGAAGTGACAATCACATTGTTAGATTACCATCTAAATACAGGAATTTACCACCTTTGGGAAAAATCAGGGTTTGATTTCCTGTACCGTAACAGATTCGTAGTGTTCAGAGAAGGCAAGTTAGACACCAGAAATTGTTCGTAAGTACCATTCATCAGGTTTGTCCTTGCATAACTCTTACCAATGATAGCTGGCAGAGCTAAGCAGGGAATAGCCTGCCTTGGGCTTAGTTCGCTGGTGGGAAAAAAGCTGACACTCCCATTACTCTTAATTTTTAGACCTTTAGGCACAAAGGAGACTATTGGCAAACATTTTTTAGTTCCTAGAAGCACTCACTTCTTGAACAGTAACTCAATACATTTTAAAAATATTCTGTCACTTCTTACCAGATTACTTATAGCCCCTTCCTTTTTTAGTTCTTTTGGGGAAATAAGTCTTCTGCCTTTTTTTCCTCTTCTTGCAGGGAGCAAGCAAACGCCTCTCCAATCAGATACCTCTGATCATCCTGTCTTATGCTCTTCATGACTTTGGGGATAACTTGCAGACCACAATGTTGCATCTTTTGCAAGAAAAAGACAAGTTAAGCCATCTCCTTCAGGAGGACAGTGAAGCTGCTAAACATAGGAGCTGCCTCACTCAAAGAGTTAATCGTCTCACCAAAGCCTGCCAATACCTGAGAGATTTCACCTCACAGTAGATTTCTTCATTTTTCAGAAGTATTCTTCTACTCGTTTTCTTGCATCATTGAAGAACTTTGTAAAATCCCCAAAAAATGTAATGTCAGCACAGACCTTTAATACTCATTGCTAGCGTTCAGTTCTGCTTTATTTTCCATAACCAGTTGTATACAAATACCTGCCTTATTGTAAAGTGCTCCACTCGGGTAGTAGTGATTCAATAAGCGTTATCCCATTTTTAATCATTTGCTTTATGAAGTCCGCACAATCATTGAAATAATCATTAAAAAGCTAGAGCTCTGAGGGTGGTGTTTTGTGGGTGTGTTGTTGGGTTTTTTTTAAATTAGGATGGAAGCTTTCAGCTGTATAACCCACAAATGGTAGAAATCAAATTATCTGACTGAAGCTTACTGCACAACCCTAGCAATCACCCCCTTCCCTTTGTGTTTTTGCCTTTTTTGTCATCTTTCCTGCCATTGCCTGAAAGATGACTGTGCAAGGTGTCGCCGCTGTGAAGTCCCATCCCAGTAGGTAGAGAGGGTGCACACGGAGGGCATGAAACAGTTCCAGGCTAAAGGGAAAAGAAACTTAACTTCATCTGATCAGTACATCCACAGGATGCCATTGGGTCTTTTTCTCCTTTTTCAGTTCTCTGGTTTGTAGAGAAAGCCTAAAAGGCTCTTTCTTTGGGATTCCTGGAGCATCGCCTGCAATTTTGAGGCTGACTGGCCACTCACTAGATGGCAGGATTTGGGTGTCCAAAAGGGATTAAATCACCCAGGATATTAAACATTAGAAGGGTGCCTCAGCATGTGGCTTGCTGCCTTTCTCCTTCCCCTCCCCAGGGCAAGGAGAACCTTTCCAAAAGCTCTTTCATTTCATGGAAGCCAGTGCAAAATATAATACTGCACGCTGTATTCATGACATCTTTCATATGGAGGATTTATTTTAAGGTTTGTGTGGGTAGAGAGAATGGCTGTCTTCAGAAAAAAAAAAAAAAAAAAAAAAAAAAAGTGTTTGTATCAGTGTGACACATAGTAATTTCCAAGATGCTTACAAGAGAAGCCTTCCCTTCAGGCTAGAAATGATAGGAGGTGTTTGACCCTCTGACATGAAACTGCAGCAGCAGATATTGGACTTCTGTGGCACAGCGCTCGCCCCAGTATGGCATACAGCTTGCTTAACCCTGTTTAGTGCTACAGCCAGTTTTCCATGTTTCAGTATGCTGTTCTGCTACTATTGACTTACAGCGCTGCAGGTCAGAAGACATAAAAAATACCTGATACCATAACAACTTAATTTATTTAATTTCTATTTTGAAAGTACTTTAAGCTTGTTGACTATTTCATAGTGTCCTCCAAGGCACACTTGATGCTCATGTGCTATTGAAAACACGCTGTCTCACACCTAGAGAAGAGGCGCAGGTACACATTGCTTCAGGCAGCATGAGATGTAATAACAAAATAAGGTGCAACTCCCTCCACCCACTGCCTTTAGACTAAACTTCTTTATTTATTTCAATTTCACAAGTCAGTCTGATTTCATCGGACCCAGCCACTGAAGACATCCAACAGTCCTGAACACCCAGCCTTCTTTCCCTGGGTTTGTTCAAGGACCTGAAATACTGGAATTAACACAATCTCTTGGATCACCCTCCTGTGTTGTTTTTCTTTTGACTTTTTTTTCTTTTAAATTAGATTCTCAAAGCACTTCAGACACTGAATCCAGCAACTGCTTCCAAAAAATCCAAGCAAACAGACATAAACCACTACTAAGGAAAACTATTTGTAAAAAAAAAAAAAAAAAAAAATTTATTTGGTGCAGTGTTTACATGCAAGATACTTGCATTTCAGTACCAAAGGAAAAAACAAGTCTAGTAGAATCATTTAATTCAAAAGATTTATCCTTCTTAACAAAAGTGACTTGGTATGGCTTTTTGATCCTCTGTACTACGATTATAAATTATTCTCAAAATCCTAGTTGAGGTGGCACTCTGATATTAATTACATTTTGCTAAAAACATACATCCAGATACACAAAGGAGAGCTCTAAAAGGAACTAAAAGCCAAATTTAATAAATGAGGTAGTTCATCTGGTTACACAGAAACGCAGATTTGTGTTTCTTTGTATAAAACATCCAGCCTCGGTACATCTGTCTGCAATCAGAGGTCTATCGCTTGCAACACAGCCTTACTGAAAAACTTTGCGCTTCGCCTTTCATAGCAGGGAGGGTTCAAGAGTCAACCTGGATGTGCGCAGCCAGGGACCTCGCCATCAGGACACGTAACTCACCACTTCCTGCTATAGCTCCAGAGCATCCCTCTCCATAGCCGACATCAAGAGTGACGGCAGGTCTTGTCCTTTTTGGGTTCAGAGCAGCTTAAGGCAGAACAGCACTTTTAATTACTGAGATTGTCAGAATGGTCTCACTTCAAACAATCTGACTTGGATGACTACTGTGTCACGATCCTGAGGATTTTTTAACTACCTGAATATACAGTCATTTTTTTCTGTGCCTCTACTGTAGTGCATGAAAACTTCCCTTCACATATACCCAAAAACATTCATTTCTTTTTAAATTGCCAACCAGCAGCTCAGAGATTCAACATTCACATTACTTAACATTTAATTTAAAACACTACCAAACCAGCTGTCTCAGCATCCTGCTACGAAAATCTTAAATCAAATTTTGATTAAAATTGCCATTATAAGCATGTACCTGATTATCAAGTGAAAGTTACTCAACTAAAGAGAGACATGTCAGCAAGCAGTTGACAGAATGACTTTCTGCCAGGCACCACAACAAGAAGAAAGGTGCTCATTGTGATAATCCTTCACTGATTAAGATCAGTCACTGTAGCCAGCACAGAACCGAGTGTGCAATCCTTCATGTTATTTTTAAAAAGAAAATTCAAAAAGAAAAAAACAAATAATTTGCAAAGTGAATAAATATCCCAGGCACCCATGGCTTCATTTATTCTTGTTCTCAGAAACATTGATCAGCAGTGGCAGACAGTGTTGTCATCTGTACGCCTGTTTAAAAAAAAAAAAAAAACAAAACCAAAAACCAGAGGTTCAAGTTCTGCTGACAGGCTGACAGACTATCTTATCAATTACTTGGACGCTTCTAGACAGAATGGCTTCATTATCAGAGAAGCCACATTTATTTATTTTTGTAAATAAAATCAAGTTTCAGGATTTGGGACATTTAAAATTATTAAAACACCCCCAAGTGTTTTACCTGCATATTTTTATAAATCCAGTCTGTAAACACGGTCATATTCCCATACACTCCAGGTCTATTGGGACTAGCACAGCCAGTTCCCCAGCTGGTATCTCCAACCAGCCACCACACAGAGCTTTTGTTAGTTACTAGAGGACCTCCACTGTCACCCTGCACAAGAGACAAGCATATTATTAGCAACCTGACCACCAGGAAAGACACAACCCATTTCACTTCAGGAATACAGGTTAGGTTTCAAAAAAGCTAACCACCATTTTAAGGCAGTCACTAAAACAACATGCGATGGCAATTACAGTATTAAATGATGACTGCTTGCAATAGGATTGAAAATTGTTTGCCTAAAGCACTAAATGAGATAGACATCATTAGAATCATAGGATATCCTGAGTTGGAAGGGACCCACAAGGATCATCGAGTCCAACTCCTGGCTCCACACAGGACCGGCCGAATCAGAGCATATGACTGAGAGCGTTATCCAGACACTTCTTGAACTCAGTCAAGCTCGGTGCTGTGACCGCTTCCCTGGGGAGCCTGTTCCAGTACATGACCACCTTCTCCTGATATCCAACCTAAACCTCCCCCGACACAGCTTCGTGCCATTCCCTTGGGTTCTACCACTGGTCACCAGAGGGAGGAGATCAGCACCTGCCCCTTCGCTCCCCCTCGTGAGGAAGCTGTAGGCCATGATGAGGTCTCCCCTCAGTCTCCTCTTCTCTAGGCTGAACAAACCAAGGGACTTCAGCCTCTCCTCATACGTCTTCCCCTCTAGACCCTTCACCATCTTTGTTGCCCTCCTTTGGACACTCTCCAATAGTTTTATGTCCTTTTTGTACTTTTGACTTTCTTGTTCACAAGCATTACGCTAGGGTATCGCCATGATTATGAAGAGCATTTGTTCACTTTCAAGTACCAGATAACAAAACATCCTCCAAGCATTAAAAAGAACTGCCTCACCCTCTTTGGGTATTTAGCGACAACTCAGCACTGACAGCCATTCAGAAGATGAAATAAAAGCTCTGCCTTTTAAAGTGATGCACCACAACAGGAACTAGAAGCCCAACTGAAATATTACTCATTTAATTTTTACAATTTTTTTTGCACATAAGATCTGTTTGTAATTAATAGATGATTTAAAAAAACCCTACTACTAAGATGATAAAAATAATCAGATCATTATAGGTGTTAATTAGGAATAATTACCTGACAGGAATCAAATCCTCCTCCTAGATATCCGGCACAGATCATTGTAGGCAAAATCATGCCATTATAGATATAGATAGAATTACACCTGGACTGTTCTATTAAGGGCACCATAACATAATTCAAGTTATTTGATGTTTTACCTAAAATTGAAACGTACACAAAACCACACATACAAAGACAAAATTAGAACAAGCATCATATGTTGCTAGCACAAATCCCAGCAGCTAGCACTGTTCAAGATGAAATAAACTTATAGAAACATCAGGATGGACACTTAAGATGTACGGTCCATCGCACAGAGACAACTGTGACATTAAAATTCCCTTCCAAGAGGTCAGTGAGTTACCCTGCATTGCTGTCAGTGGACTGTAAAGCAAGAGAACATGGCACCTTCCTGCCTACTCCAGCCCCAAATCAACAGTGTCATCTACAGGGCTATTAAAAGCACACGAAGTCTGCAAGAGGCGAAGAGGACCTCCCCATGATTTCATGGTCCAGCACAAGCAGTCAGCAATTCCCATACTCAGGGTTCAGCTTCCCCGACACCCCCCTCCCCACTCAGTACCTTCTCAT